TTGGCTCCGTTCTACCAAAACTGTCCTTGATTTCCACAACCCACCAGCCCCCTACCTTCTCCTCCTCCTCCACCTAGAATGTGAGTTAGTACAGCTAGCATATTACCGGAAGTTTCCAACTTTGATATATTCTAGACATTTATTAGAAAAAAAAAAAATGTCACGCAAACAAACAAATTAGTTGGTTAGTGCATTGAAAAAAAGGCCAATTCTTTTTGTCTGGTCCTGATTTGGGATTTTCTCTTCCATTACATTCCTCAATCTTTTGCTCAGCGAAAGAGAGAATTCATTGGTTTTTGTCGAGCTGTGTGCACTAGAAACTGAACTGGGGCACAGTAGCTTGAACTTTGTGGTCCAAAGTTGAGGTTTTAGCATAGTTCAGTTGAGATTTGAAGTGGGTTTTTTAGGTAAACCAGTTTTTGAATTGGGTATAGCTTGATTTCGGTGGTTTGTGGAAGTGGCTGATTGGAATTCCAGTTAAAGTCTTGAACTTTATAATCTATTCTTGAGTTTCCTTCAGCTAAGTCAGCCGTGAGATTTGAATTGGGTTTCTGTCAAATCTTACATCGAATTTGATTATGCAAGAATAGCATAATGTCTGGGAAGAGCAGAGGAGGAGCAGAGTCCAGTTATAAAAGTGTTGTCTCTCGAAGATTAACAGTTTGGCTATGTATTGGATGCTTCTGTGCCGGAATGCTCTTCACCGACAGGTTTGTTTATTTTATCTTTCTTTACATTTCTAGTGATTCTCTTTCCCTTTAAATGTGCAACAGAATTACTTGAATTGGTCGTTCTTGGATCAATCTTGTAAATCTGGTAATCTGAGTGGTAAATTTTCAATAGAAAAGATTATTCTTTGTTCCAAAGTCCCATTTTTGGTTACTGAGTGTCTTGGTGATAAAAAGTGTATTAATTTCGTCGGTTTTCTAGAGTTCGTATCCATAGTATGTATGGTTTAGTTGCTTTTCGGTGCAGAAAATTCTCATGGCCAGAGACACGAGAATTTGTATAACAGTTGTGCATATTGGTGTTAGGATCTTGCCATCGGTTTCAGTACAATCGTCTTTATTTGGATGGTAAATAAGGTTGTGGGTCATCTTCCTTGTCATTGTGCTAGTTCCTGAGTTCAACATCTTCAGATTAATTAATAAGTAAATAAAAAGAAGATAAAGTTCAACACCTGCAAGTGGAGTGCCTCATGTTACAAACGGAGAAGACACACCCATAGAGCAGGTTAATCTGCAGCTGGCACAAATGGCAAAAGTCCAGTTCTCTTCCATCAGATCATTTCATGTTTTGCTGGCTTAAAGCGTTCGAGTTGATGATTTCAGTTTAAGAAAGAAAGTTTGATTTGGTGGTTTTATTAAAACATTTTCCCTTAAAAAGGAGTTTCAAGAACTTGAAGATTGGACGAAAGTGACATAATTTGATGTTCAGAAACTTGTGAAGTTCCATTCAATTCCACAATAACTATATAATTACACTGGTGAAAAAATATGGCCTGGGTTCGCACATGGCAACTTCCTATGTAGAGTTGCTTGTTTTGTTTGTGTCCCTAATTAGAATTTTTGTGATGTTAGAATGTGGACGGTCCCAGAAGCTAAAGGTATATCAAGGACATCATCAGTTGAAGACGAAAAACTAAAGCTAGTTGCGGAGGACTGTAAAAATGTGAGTACTTAAATAATTTTGAGGACTGCATTTTCTCATTTTGAGCTTGGAGATTGTCACTGAGTGCTATAATAAGCTCACAGTCAATCCATTTTCATGTACGATGTTGAGTTACTAGTCATCAGTGACTTTGTAAAGAGGTTTGTGGGGACTAAGTTCTGCTTTCCTATTCCTGTTTGCTACTAGAATATGAAAAGTAAGTCCAATGATATTCCGGGAGAAGTGTCAAAGACGCATCATGGCATACAGTAAGCTCCTTATGCTTGTTTACCTTAGATATCATTAATTTGTAGACATGCAACTTCAAAGTTTTGTACGGATTTTCAGAACACTTGATAAAACAATTTCAAGTTTGGAGATGGAATTAGCTGCTGCAAGGGCTTTGCAAGATTCCCTACTTACTGGTTCACCAGTGTCTGGGGACTTGAAGATTCCAGAATTGATCAAGAGAAGGAAATATCTCATGGTTGTAGGCATTAACACAGCTTTTAGCAGCAGGAAAAGAAGAGACTCTGTTCGTGCTACCTGGATGCCGCAAGGTTTCTGAATATTAAGACAGTTTGTGTTTGGGTTTTGAATTCTTCTTCTATTAAATTGAATGGGTGCGTGGATGAATTGCTAACACTGTAAAAACAGGTGACAGACGCAAGAAACTTGAAGAAGAAAAGGGCATTATAATCCGCTTTGTAATAGGTCACAGGTGAGAGAGATTTTTTTGCTGGACGTTGTGTTGACCTGTTTCCACTAGTTTGTTCTCTTCCTATGTTTCCACTTCAAAAACTTATGTGATAATTTTGTTGATGCTACTTGTTAGGATAATCATGGAAGTACCTTTTATTATGAAAGAATAATGTGAAAAAATACTACACAATCATTTGAATTTCCCAAGATGCAATTCATTTTTTGGCAAATAAGGATCACTGAAGTCTGATTCTTACTCGCCTATTCAACAGTGCTACATCAGGTGGTATTCTTGATAGAGCTATTGAAGCAGAAGAAAAAAAACACGGGGACATCTTGAGGCTGGTATCATCAATTTTCCTTAATTAAGTTTTTGCTTGATATGCATTGCTGTTCAGTATTGGATCAGAATATACTGTAGCCCAGCCTGCCTTGCAATGACCTTAATTTAATTTGCTGCTTTGCGACTTTCATAAAGTACATGAACATCTGAGAAGACAGCTCACTGATGCTTCCATTTTTATGCTTTAATAGGAACATGTTGAGGGATACCTTGAATTGTCAGCAAAGACCAAGTCATACTTCACTACTGCTGTTGCTCTGTGGGATGCAGATTTCTATGTGAAAGTTGATGATGATGTTCATGTGAATATAGGTAAAAGATATGATTTTTTTGGTTTATCATTTGGAAACTTGGGTGGCAATGTAAATTCTTCCTTTCTTGTTTATATGACCAAAAACTTTCTTTTGTCTTGTATATTCAAAATGTTGTGTATCATTGCCATTGTGGGAAACATATTCGAAAGACGTTAGTTTTCAATTTACTTGAATAACTATGTTCTTGTGCACAATTGCAGGAACCCTGGGAGCAACTCTATCCAGACATCTCTCCAAACCCAGGGTTTACATAGGGTGCATGAAGTCCGGGCCTGTTCTTGCTCAAAAGTATGATACTACCACATAACTGCTCTTCCAATTGATGTTGAAAATACATTTATGTTGATAGTGGCCTGTTTTTTAACCTTTGTCTCCTCCAACAGGGGAGTGAGATATCACGAACCTGAGCATTGGAAGTTTGGAGAATATGGAAACAAGTACTTCCGTCATGCTACCGGTCAGCTATATGCTATTTCAAAAGATTTGGCTACTTATATCTCAATAAACCAGTAAGCATCTTATTTCATTATAGTACTGCTGCAATGGCATCGCCTTGTATGTGTTAACCTGATTCTTTTAATCGTGTATATTCATTCATATAAGGCACGTGCTTCACAAATATGCCAATGAGGACGTCTCACTAGGTTCTTGGTTCATTGGTTTGGACGTGGAGCACATAGATGATCGGCAATTATGTTGTGGAACTCCACCCGGTAAGGTTATATGAGTCTATTTGTTGAATAATCAATTTGTAGTCTGTTGGTTACAATGCTCCAATGACACGAGGCACACTGCAGTGGACTTTAACACAATGACTAGACCTATTTGAAATAGGTCTTTTTTAGTGAATGGCTTCCTGTAAATTGAGTCTGAACTCTACGGAGTTCTACCAATATGTAAATATTTTGTTTAAAAACCCAGCTTGATCAGCACCCTGCCCATTCGAAAGGAGAAAAAATGAGGAAGAAAAGAATTGTGCTTGTTAAAAGTAAGAGTGTAAAGAACAAGATCAGTTAAGTGGGTGCTACCCAGTGTCGGACAAGAGTTTGAACAAAGCTTTAAGACTCAAATGGTTTGATATTTTTGCTATTAATGTTGACCCAGATTGTGAGTGGAAGGCTCAGGCAGGCAACATCTGTGTTGCTTCCTTCGATTGGAGGTGCAGTGGGATTTGCAATTCTGTAGAGAGGATTAAGGAGGTGCACCGGAGATGTGGAGAAGGTGAGAATGCTTTATGGAATGCAGTCTTTTGACATGGAGCATATCATCCAAATTCTGGAGGATGCAAATTGATCATTGAGAATTTTGTGTTGTAGATATTTGCCCTTTAGGTAAATTGTATGTTATATCGATATGTAAAGCATGAGAGATTTTTTTTTTTTACCATTATTTTTTTTCCTTTCTTCCTTATTCTTTTTCTTCTGGGAATTGGGGTTAAACTCGGCCTCAACCCATTTTATGGGAGATCAACTCCTTTTTTTGTTCAGGAGTAAGATCATTTTGTTGCCAAGAGACAAATTAATTGTAGGCAACCATTCTTTGGTGTCAAAAGATGCACGAGTTCAGATTGCAGCTCTTAAGACTGCTGAAACTCAATAAACGTCTACGATAAGCGATCATGCGAGCGTCTTGTTGCTTCATAAGTGGAAATGTGATGCTCTCCATCTACTTACCCGTTTCTCACATTCTGATCTGATTCTGCATTTGACAATTCGCGTTTGGATCGTGTCGAAAGAGACGATTGAGGGTCGATCTAAATGTTCAAACAGCCAGAAGAGAAGTAAAAGGTTAGGACGCTGTCTTATCCGAAAGGTTGTCGCAAACTAATTGGCTGTTTTGGCCTCGAAGACTAACCAAAGTGCCTGGAGGCTTAAAGAGACTGGAAAGTAGTGTGGCGTAGTTTCCATTTCGCCAAAGTAATAGTACTAGAGGAGTAATACTTCAAAAGTCAGAAATACGCCTTGGTAAAAAGATAAAAAGGAATAAAGGAATAGCGGAGAGGTCAGAAATAAATTTCTAGTAACTAGGACTGTGGCAGTAGTAGTTGTAAATGCAAGGTTTGAAGCCGTGTGGAATCAATGATGCCATTTCTGCCAGATAACAAAACCAACGACCCTTGGATCATCATTCTTCTAGTGAAAAGGCTATCCACTGCTTCTCTTTCTTCCCACTAGCAAAGTGAGCTCAACAAGCCTTGCTGCTGCTTGGCTTCTGTCCGTTCAATCTCCAGAGAAAATTATTTACATATGTACAAGTGATCAGGCAGTTGATATGTGTCTATTGCTGGTTCATACTCAAAGCTTCTACTTATCTTCTGTTTATCCTTTCCCTGATAACACCACTCACTTCTTGTTTCCTTGAAGCTTAAGGGCTTATTCAATTTCTCTTGCTTTTGTCATAAAAAAAATGGGGATTTTTGAGGAAAATGTATCCGGGCTCAAAGTCCTGGATTGTGCTCTAAGGTTGTTTCTTGTTCCTTTTAGCATTGCAGCTATCTGGCTAACCCTCACCAACCACCAAGACAACAGCAGCTATGGGGAATTGGTCTCTAGCTACTTCATGGGGCTCAAGTAATTAGCAATATGACCATATATCTTTCTCAAGTTCCTTGATTCTGATGATTTTCGCGTGGTCAATATGTTAAAAATCCAAGCTTTTCTGCAGGTACATGGTTTACATCAGCGCAGTATCAGCTGGATATGCTCTTTTAGCTGCTGTTTCATTGTGGGTCAGATGTTTGGTTAGTAAAGCATGGATCTTCTTTGTATCTGATCAGGTATGTCTCCACTTGGAATCCTTAAGACAGATTTCAACCAATCACATCAAACACTTGCTCTTAGCACTTGAAATTGGATACTAAGTATATATGCTACTTATGAAGGTTATCAAGATTCTGAGCTAATGGGGCATGGGTTATTTAATTGGCTTCTTCAATTTATTAGCAAAGGGGAAATAGGTTTGGTGAAGTCCAATTGCAACCTTAAAAGGTGTAACAAAGTAGTACTAAAACTCGAGAACAAATTTGTTGTCCGACAGCAGTAAATTCTGTGCAATTGATTCCCTTGATATGTTGTTGTGGCCTTGAGGATCTGCCCAACTACTCCCATAATGTTGGAGCAAACGCAATAAATGCATTGTTTTTATCTTGCATTGTCTATTTGGTTCATGGACACCGCATTAAATGGGGGTGATATGTAAATGGAGCAGGTGGTTGCATACTTGATGGTTACAGCGATGGCTGCATTGGGGGAAATTCTATATTTGTCATATAACGGTGACCAGAAAGTTACATGGAGCGAAGCTTGTACTTCTTATGGAAGGTTTTGCCACAGAATGAAGCTGATTTTGGGATTCCATGTTGTAGCCCTGTGGTGTTTTCTCCTCTTAGCTGTTATTTCAGCTTATAGGCTCTTCAGCAGATTTGGTCCTCCTACCCTTTCTTCTAAAGAGCCCGAGGAAGAACGAACCTGAAATCTTTTCTTTTTCTGGGTTCCATCTCTTTTTGTTGTGTACAACTGTAGATCATGTCTTCTTGCCTTGTGATCCATAAACAATCAAGCCATGATTATCCCTCAATTGAATACCGGTTGTACTTTTGCTGGTGGAATAGGAAAATGGGAAAATTACATAGCCACTCTCTCGGCGACTGATTTTCTGTTTATCTCACCTCTTATATATACGAATGAGAAATGCATCCAAAGCGGACCAAATTGGGATAATATGATGCTATAGAATTACTCGCTAGTTTTTTGATTCTATGTTGTAACTGCTAAGTATGCTTCCTCCACCAAGTTTTGGAACGTATTGCAATCCAAGAAAAAAGAAGTGTTTCGTAAAACTGAATTCATCTGAAACAGGAATTAAGACAAATTTCTTGAATTGCAGAGCTATTTCATCCTCTAATCTCCCCTTGATACGGTTATATTATGCCAATAATCTACATTACGTTTGATTATAAAAATCATTAAGAGAATTAATGGCATATTGTTGTATCAAAGCACTGAAGGACTCGTTGTTGGCAAATTAGGAGGTCCATTTGATCTCTCACAATTGCCGTTTTCAGCGACCACCAAAACAACACTACCATATTGGCTGCTATTTTTGAGATTTCCACTCTAGTCGCTGAATCATTTACTCGAACAATTCTTGAGATTTCAATCTTAGTCGCTAAACCAAAACCTCTCCTACCACAATCTTCGTATATCTAACATGCAATTACTTCATGTCTAATGACATATGGATGGATAAATAATTTGCTAAGGATTTGCAGCTCCTTTCCACAATCGACTTAGCTGGATGCTACTCCCACCTGCGGTGATAGCAGCAGAAGGAAGGCGACATTCATTATAGACCTTGCATTCTCGGCAGAATTCATATGCCATCTGATAGAAAAGCAGTACGGTGTCCTAGTTAGTTAAACTCGGACTGGACCTCCCGGAGGCCAAACTAACTCCGGCCACTAGAAGGTTGTTAAGGTTTTGCATGTTGTCCTTCATTAACTAATGGGAAAAAAGTCTCAATGGTCCTCCAACTCTTTCTCAAGTAAAGTTTTAGCCCTCCAACAATTAACGGTAAAGTTTTGGCTCTCGATCTAATAAAATAGCATATTTGTGACCCTTCTGTCAAATCCAGTAGTTAAAATTGACAGGAAGCATCATCTCACGAGACGCGCGACCAAATATCAAGAGTATTATAGTCTCTAAGCAAAGACAGAGCAAAAACACTTTTACTACTGATTTTCCTTCTGGAAATCGTATTTGCCACTCCATTTCTGCTTTTACAACTCCTCCTACGCTGGCAATTAGTACTTTCGTTGCAGCATTCGAAAATCTTCAAATGAACATTCCGGCTAGACCCAATTTCAACTCCTTGAGAAGCCCATTGCCCAATTTTTTCTATTCTATGTGCGAACTAGATTTTCTCAAAGCCCCCATATAAGGAAAGGAAATCAACGGAGTCCATCCATCCCATCACACCGCCAGCGTGTTACTTCCACTGTCCTTGTCGGACCATTAAGTTAATAACATATGACCGAAGACGCATAAGCTCTTCATTTTCTCTCTCTCTGGATAATGGGTCAGTCTACTTCTATACATATATACTCACCGGGTAGGTCAAGCCCGACTTCCAGCCACTGCCGCTGCATCACCGCTAATCAATCGAACGCCGTCTCTTCCACCGACGTCATTGCTCAGCTTACTCTCCCTATTTTCGGGGATGGGCAAGATTATAGCTCCGAAATTCCCGATGAGTGCTTAGCTTTAATCTTCCAATCTCTCAGTTCTGGCGACCGAAAAAGCTGCTCTCTTGTTTCCAAGCGATGGCTCATTGTCAAAGGTTAGAGCTGCCACTAATTATCTCTCAACGCCACTGCCAATATATACTCGCAAATCCCTGTAATATTCTTCTGTATTTGCCACTCCATTTCTGCCTTTATAACCTCTCCCACGCTGGCAATTAGCACTTTCGCTGCAGCATCTGGATTGAGTTGTTTGATTTTTTCGCACTAGGGTTTTAGAGCAAAAGGGATGGAAATTGTTGGAGGGAAAATCGGTGAAAGTGTTTTTACTTTGTCTTTGCTTAGAGATTATAATACCCTTGATATTTGGTCGCACGTCTCATGAGATGGAGCTTCCCGTCAATTTTAACTGTTGGGTTTGACAGAAGAGCCACGAATATGCTATTTTATTATATCGAGAGCCAAAACTTTATTGTTAATTGTTGGAGGGCTAAAACATTACCTGAGAAAGAGTTGGAGGGCTATTGAGACTTTTTCCCTTAACTAATCAATGGTCATACCATAAAGTTGATACTTCTAGGTGGATATCTCTAGTATAATGGTACTAGCAATCAACAAAACTCATAATCCCCAAAAGGGAAGGGGATAAAATGAAATTTAGTATGAATACCAGATACTCTTATTCTTTTAAATCACCTTTGGAATTTCCATATTAGTTTACTTTATTTATCCTTCTCAGTTTGTATGCTCCATATTTTCTTCAACTTCAATCATCACCTACACCATAGATCAGCCCTCATTGAGGGATTAGGGCTCCTACAGTTACAATTTTGATTGTAGAGTGCAATTAATGATAAAAATGGATTTAATTTGAAATTGGGTTGGATGAGATTGATTACAGGAAACACAATTTTTTTGAAGTGTCAAGATTTATTGTAGTTTTACGAATTATGGTGTCATTATCTATACTTGTTATATTAGTGTGTACGTTTGATATATGATGGATACCTACATTGCATTATACAGTTGGGACATTGTAATTGTATATATCGCTTATCCATCATTGAGTAATTGGACGACTAATCAATCTATATCATCATTCAAGAGCCAAACTGAAGCAAAAATTATGTAGTGAAAAAGGTCAAATTGATATATTTTTAGGTAGCTAAAAATTGTTGGCTACTTAAAGGACCAACTTGTAATTATCGCACCCAAAAGAGAATAATGTAAAGGGAAAATGACCAATTTAGTCCATATACTTTTTTTTATTGTCAATTTAGTCCCTATATATTATTTGTAGCCAATTTAATCCTTAAACTTATATTTCGGTTCCAATCAAGGAACTCAGCGGCGGCGCCACCACATAATTTTCATTATGCTCCTAATCGAGAAACCCAAAAAGGATATTTTAGGAACTTCAATGCAGGGCCGTAACCAGTCAATGCTGGGACCGTTGAAAGAGGAGTAATTTTTTTTCCAATCCAAATTCACACTAATTGTTGCCGGATATTCCTTGTTTTGCCGGATATTCCTATCGGTTGAGCCTGATTTTCGGAGTCATTGGAAAGCCAATCAGTGAAGCTTTACTTTTCTGATTCACAAAGCATCCCACTGATGGATGGCTCAAGATAGCCGGCAGTTGCACCCAACCTCCATAAACAATGCCCCTGCTTCTTATCCTCTTTTCAAATCCTTCAGGAAGCGCCTCTTCGACAGATGTGGTCCTAAATGGTGGCTTCCCTCCCCGATCAGCAATCAATTAGTAGTCCAAATCTTCAAGAAAACCAGCCGATTCTACATTTCACATCCCTTCACATTTATCTACCTCATCTCTCTTGTTTTCGCCTTCTGTTTCAACGTCGAGAAGGGGGCCCACTACCTCATTTCTTCCGTCGACGGCGACCCTTCTCTCAAGTCCCTCATCTCCCGTCTCAACCTATTTGGCAACCAACAATACCACCGCCGCCGCCACCCTTACCATATCCGCCGCCGGCGCCGTCACGCCTTTCTTCATCTCTCTAGCATCGAAACCTTTGACGAAAACTTCTTCTTGGGTGATTTCGATTAAGCCCGCTCCCTCTTCAACCCCACCACTAAATTCCAACCCAATGGGACCTTTGTGATTCTCTCCAATTTCAACCCCAGTCTGGGGTTTTTCGCCCGACCCCATTGTGGACAATGGCGCCTCTTTCGCAGTACGGTCTGGTGTGGTTGCCTTTATAACCCTTTCAAAGCCATTAGAAATCCCTCAAGAAAGCACCTCGTTACATCCTGATGCTAATGATTCCACCAAGGATTCAAATGCTGTTGTTGATTTACACTTCTTGCTAAGGGGTCTTGAATTAGGCTGACGCGACACCATGGCATTGATGTACTTTGTTTGGATTTTATCAACTGCATATGGGTACGTGATCTTGGCATTCTTGTTTACTTACATCTGGGTCAATGGAATTGTATTTTATCAGGTTTCCAATGATTTGTTAGGGAAATCCAAGAACTTTTTCAAGGCTATTTGGGATGGATAAAATTTGGGGATAAGAAGGCTGTCTGGATTTGTTTTAATAAGGTGCCTGTAAAGGACTAAATTTCTTGCAAGATTTCAGTCGGTTTTTGCAAGAAAAAGTTGAGATTTCAGGTGGGCTTTTCTCAGTGGTGATAAAAGTGTGCCGGTCACTTTTGATTTTGATTTTTACTTTTGAAAAGGAACCCCAGCAGTGAAGTACCCGAAATACCCTTGCTTAAGTGTTCAATTAAAACGTTTGATCGGAATTACAAGGTAGCGCCGCCGCAGAGTTCCTCAATTGGAATCGATAAATAAGTTTAGGGATTAAATTGGCCAAAAAAATTATGTAAGGATTAAATTGACAATAAAAAAAAGTATAGGGACTAAATTGGCCATTTTCCCTAATGTAATTAATCGAATGATGCAAAGCTACTAACGTCGACGTTTTGGAAAGCCTTAGCAATAGAAGTTCTAACGCGAAACAAGACGCAAGGCCACACGGCAGCAACAATATTTATGCGATCAAAACCTCCCCAATTTTCAGTTTGAGAGGACAGTTCTGTAATTATTCCTTTGATCAGACAACTAAACCGCCGTCTGGATCTCTCGAGGTAGAATTTTTTTTTTGTTTTGTTTAACGCCTTTCTCAATCTTTTACTTTTAATTCGATTATTTCTTGGAAAGGGAATAAAAAAAAGATAAAGATAAAGGGGAAAGCTCTAATTTTTAACCCTAAATTTTAGTTTTTTCAGGCCTTTCGAATCGCAGTTAGCGAAACCCTAGAGGTAGCTTTGATTTATCGTCGATTCGTCATCATGGCCAAAAGCTCCTTCAAGCTCGAGCACCCTCTCGGTATCTTGATTTGATTTGATTGGATTATACTTTTTGTTCATAATTAAGTGGCTTTTTATTGGTG